CCAAAACCCCAAAACCCCAAAACCCCAAAACCCCAAAACCCCAAAACCCCAAAACCCCAAATATTGGAGAGAACATTGAATTGTCAGTCAAGAAAAGATTGATTTTAAAGATTGTTTCATGCAAAGAATTAATCGCCATTTTCATTTCCTTTAGTTTGTTCTTCAGTCAAGAGTGGGTCCATTTCTTGAGCTTTAATGCTCATGCTTCTCTCAGAGCCTGAAATCAGAGAACCTGTCCTCATCTTCTTCTGTGCCAATGCTTTTTTGGTATTAGCATTAAAGCCTAAGAATGGAAGAACCAAAATTTCGTTATAAAGGATGACTCCTACCAAGAGAACCAAGAATCCGATGAGCTGAAGAACTTTGAAGTTTTCATGGCCTCCGTGTGGGTAAATTAGGAAAAAGATCCAAACAAGGACGGTCTTTGTCTGCTGCAGAATAACTCTGGTTGCAGCTGATGCATACTTTGTTACAATCATACCAAGACCGTTCATTCCTGCAACAAAAATAATATTTCCTAGCAAGAAGAAAACAAGAGGGACACTATCGCCGATGAAATCAAAAGCAACTCTAGTATTCTCTACTCTCCCGTTGTTACAAATAGTGCCATCACAAGGAATATATTGGAAAATTATCAGCAGAACAGACCAGAGGAAGCATCCAGTGATACCTTCCCATCCAACAGCTTTAAATGGAGAGAGGTAGTAAGAACTAAGAAGCTTCTCTTCAACAATAAATTGAGACCCTTGAACTGCGATTGAGAAGACCATGAGGATAACTCCAAGAGCAACACTTCCATTCTCATCACCCCCATTTTTATCGATAAGGGCTGCAGTAGCAACAAGGCAAATTCCAACAAAGACAAAGCAAAGTCCAAGCCAGTGATGTCTGAAGAACCTCGCTTTCAAAAAGATAATGGAGAAGATTGCAACAATGAAAACAACAAACCCTCCCATCATCTGAGCAATACTTGCAGGGATGTTAATATAAGCGATCATCAGTAAAGCAGTAGCTCCACTATCACAAAGCATTGGAATGGCTAAAAGAAGAGGGTTAATGTCAGTTCTTAGCCCTTTGGCAACAGCTCCTTTCATTTCTGGGCTTTCTTCAACGCTCCCATACTTATTTTTTAAGTACATCTTCTCTCCGATGTAAAAGAAGATACAGAGTGCTTCTCCTATAAACATGACAAGCACTAAGAAGAAGGGATGTTCAAACTTTTTCCCATCTATTTCTACATTAGACTGTAACTTGAGGACAACTCCGAGAGTAGCTCCTGAGAGAATCATCATAAGACAGAAGACTCCCAAAAGTACAGGGTTCATTTCATTTCCTGCCATTTCCTTTCCTATATTATTTAATATATAATTTGTGGGTATTACTACTTATTCTCCCTCCTGTGGGGTTTTGGGGTTTTGGGGTTTTGGGGTTTTGGGGTTTTGGGGTTTTGGGGTTTTGGGG